TTTCTTCCATGCTTAACCTTCAAAAGGAAAGAAAAAGTCCAGGAAAAACAAATTCGACTCATCACGATTTTAAAGGCACAGAATGTTTGAGGTCAATAGAAGAACCTTCAGAAACCTGGCTCCTGAGATGTTTGAACAGAAACAGTTACAAAACAAATTCTTACAACAGCTCTAGGGGCAGAGCACCTCCAGCTCAGGGAGAGCCCTAACTACTGGCTTAAGAATGACATACAGTGTGTGACTCCTGAGAGAATTCACTATAATTATCCTCTTGCTGTGGATGAGGACATGGAGGCAAGTGACCTCTTCAAGGCAACCTAGAAAAGCAGAGCTGCTGCTCCAGAAACTGAATATAGTTCTTTTAGGACCCTGTTTGATATCTTTGCCTAAGGTCTTGCTGCCTAGTGAAATTAGCCTAAGGCACGGTGGTTCTCCTACTCTTAGGAGCTTAAGCAGTGGTGGGAAGAAGGGTGTGGACAGCTTCTCCTTTTCCCAGCATCTTTGAGGAAGACCTGGAACAACAACAGAAAAATAGACTGAAGAGCATGGAACAGTGAAAAATAAATGAAAACAGGGAGCGCATGCTAATAATCCTGTTAAGTAATGGCACATCGTTACAGAGAGCTGTCAGAAGTCGATACTGTCACAATTGCTGCCTAGGGCTCTGATGGCTCTGAATTAAAGCTTCTGTGCACGGCCTGACATTTTTCTCCTCTGCAGCAAGGGCTGTCTTAATTGTTTGATTAATGAACTCATTAAATCCCAGTATTATTAGAAAAAGCACATTGACCTCCTGACCAATCACAATTAAAACATAAATGCCAATTGCTCAAGATGCTGGTTTGCCATCTATTGAAGCAGCAGAAGAGCATAAAAAAACAGCTTTGTGTTTTGGGGACTTGGCCCACTTCACCCACAAGATCTGAATGTTAAGAGAATGTCACAACAATTGCAGGTGGAGGCCATCATGCAGTATTACCTACAATTACAGCAGCATTTGCCTGGTTATTACGATTATAACCAGTCTGGAAACACAATCCTCCATTGAATCAACAACAAAGGACTCCAGCTGACTTGACCGCAGTTAAGATTTCACCCTCCATCATCACTAAGCACAGTGGTGAGGAAGTGTAATTAAATTCTGCGTGTGTACCAGGCACAGCTCAAAGTTACACATCCCTGAGAGGTGGTGTGGAGAAAAATGCAGGGAGTTTTGCTCCCAGGCTGCAACGCCCCTCGTTGCGCTATCTTCCTGAGGGTATTAAATATGGATCTTCTCTGATTCTCTTACTGCTGCATTGTGTCCTGCTAGGTAAGATATCGACACACAGTCTTACTTCTGTAAAAAGGGCACCCTTGCTTTGTTGGAAAGTACATTATCATACAATGATGGTATATTTCAGGTATTGTTGTCTTGCTCATTACACAGCTATAAAGCTATTTCAGTGTCCCAGCTCATGATTTTTGAGTGGCTGGTGTCATCATGGCAGACCCTCTCTTAGGAAACTTGAACAAACACTTTTGGCATGTGTCACTGATGCTTTTATGTCCAGTAGGAGTTGTAGCCCCCCAGATTAGGTGAGCTGAGTTAGGAGAACAGAGTTGTCTCCTGTAAGCCAAAATGCAAGCTGAGGTATCTGAAGGCATTTAGCTAGCTGTATTCATTCTGTGTTCCACAGTAGGCCAAAATATCCCCATTCTGGGCTTTCAGCAAAGGTTATAGGAAACTGTAGCATCTTTGAGGTGCCAGGTCAAACTGTGTCAAAGTCTGAATCAGATTTGGTGTTCAGGGTCTTGTAGTCATTCAGACTGCTGGTCACTGTTACAGTAGGGAAAGGTTTAATCACTGCCTGTGCTGTTGTGTGGGCTACTGTAATCTGCCTTCAGTTCTGCAGAACTGAAAGAAACCTGGAAGTGTCCACCACTAGCCCTGGTGTGGCAAACCTGGAGATTTGTCATCCCTTCACCTCACACCCAGAGCTCAAGCCCCTGGGGACTAAATGGCTTTCAGCTTCCTAAAGCCTGATGCAGTTCACCAGCTTCTCAGTTGTCTCTACTTGAATGGCTGCTGCCTCCTTTACCGTAGGACCTCAGCAGCTGAGTCTGACTGAAGAACTCCCAAAGCTATGACTGTTCTTCTCAGTTCAGGCACAGCAACCCTACAGCACAGAGCCCCATCTAAGACATTGGGGTGTACTACACTGCCTGGATAGTGTGGGCTTTTAGAATGGATTTAAATCAATAAAGTTCATCAGTGATTGCACAAGGAAACTGATCAGATTTTCTTCTTAGCCTGTGAGAAGGATCATGGCCACATCAGAAATGGGGAAACATCCTAATCTCTGTGAATTTATTTTCTGCTGTAAAAGCCAAGTGCTTTCCATAACCACTGGAGACAACAAAGCTGGGCAAACACTGCATCACTTCACTAGAGACTGTAATGCCTGCTTTGCACAGGACACAGCTAAGAGAGCAATATGCTATTGGTGCTCCTTGTAAGCAGCATGGGAAAGGAGGCAGCACAGGATGTGAAGGTCAGATGCCTTTTGGCTTTCGTCAGTGTGTTTAACACCATCAGAACTAGCCCATAGAAGTCATCAAAAAGTACCAAATAAACAGTTGATCACCTCAGTCATTGCAGTTGGCAGAGCATTGCTGTAATGTTAATGCTTAATCCCTTGTTTTATTCAAGTCCTCGTTTTTTTTATTGCTAGGTTATAGCTAGGTTGCTAGCAGGCTAAAGCCATGAAGGTAAAAGGCTGAGAGATTTGCTGTTTGCTGTTTTATCCAGTGCAAAATAGAAAGTAGTGCTGCAGCAAATTTTCCTCCCAGGTAGGCATGGACGTAAAAAAGTTTGCACTTAGAAACAAGACAGGAGTTTGCTTCTATAACATTTCCAGGACTGACAGTCCCTCAGCTTCCTGGTTGCCTATATGTCCTTCCAGCTACAGACAAACTGGAACTTGGTGCCTGCTTCATGCCTGTGTTTCTCATGGTAAGACACCTGCCCTGACCTGGATCCCTGGCTCTACCTATGGACATTTCCCCAGAAGAGCAGGCTGGGGCTGCTCTGAAGTGTACCGTCACCAAGCTGGTGGGAGACAAAATGAAGCAAAACCCATGTTTCCTTAACTCCTACAGTAAAAGAGGGAGCCAGATGTGCCTGCCTGACTCCTCTAGACATGGCACAGGCAAAACAATGTCCCCTGCCTGCTGCTTCTCCCCTCTGCAGCTTGGTGCAGGGTGCAGATGCCCATTACTAGCATGAAAAGGGGCACAGTGATAACCATCACCCCCCTTTTTCCTTGGGGGAGTAGGTAAAGCCTGACATGAGAGGCAGGGTGAGACAAAATGGTGGTGTTAAGTATTTAGCTCTATTTTAAGCACATGCTAGCAGCATTTCTAGTCTTATTTTTATGAGATGCACAGTAGTTTTCTGTCTTCTTGTTGCTGTAAGCTGTACAGCACTGCAAAGCAGTGCTCTGAGTAGGAAGAAAAATACAATAGTAGCTTTGACCAGCTTTCATTTTTGCCACCTACGAAACAAGAGTTTTCTAACACAGCAGTCCAGCTGTTTTCACATTTCTAAAAGTCTTCATCCCCTGGCAGTATTTATGACAATAAGCTATTACGGTTTTCACTAACAAGAAAGCCGGTGGCTGTGGCAATACCAAAGGCAGAAAGCAACAGAGAGTTATCAGAGGAAAATCCTTCAGGTTGATAGGGAGAATAAGAAGGTTTATCAAGCTGCAGGAGCATCCTTTCTCATGCATCCCTCAAGCTCCATGGCAGAAACTTGCCTGCTCCAGACCAGGTGCTCATTTCCAGACATAGAGCTCTTTGTGAAGGTGAGCACTGTAAAGCAATCCAATGGCAATGTTTGTTTATGGAGAGCTTTTTACTGTAGTTGAGATTCATTTGATAGCGTTGAGGAAGGTGAAACAGCAAGCAGAACTGGTTTCATTAATGTGTGTTGTTTGGTTATAAGGTCTGCAAAACTTAATGGACTAACCTATTAACTGAGTAAATGATACACCTGGTTTTTTACTTCTGTGCACTTACTTTTAATCTAAGTTTTGAAACTGTGCTTTAGGAGAATAATATGAAGGGCTTAAAAATTAGACCTCTGATCTCTTCCAGCAATGCTGTGTGAAGCCTAACTCAACCAATAGCAACTATGCAAGACTGCCTTATTTTAACAAAGTCTCTTAACAAAGTGCAATATAAAGTCCATGAGAGCAACACTTCTGTGGCCACACGTATAGTGAGTTATACCTTTAGTGTTTTATACTGACACCCAATGATATGTTTAGCCAAAAAGAAAGAGGGGCACACAGAAAAAGAGGTTACATGGCTTGGGTATGGCCACACTTCACACTTAAAGTGAGACCCCTGGGACTATAACAAGGAGGGATTACACAGGGGGACATGGAACTTGTGCTTCATTAGTTCTCAGTTCAGCAAAGCACAGACGGGTGGGTTCAGCACTCAACTTTCCTTCTCTCTGGGGCTCCCATAGTTGTTTACTTTGAAATTCTTAATTGTTTGATTTATTCTGTTCATTCCCTCAAGTGCTTTGGCCATTACATCTCAATTTATGTTGGTAAGTCTCTGTTTGTTTCCTGTGATCATTAAATGACTCAACTGGTTTTAATCACGCAGTGACTTAGGTAGATTTATGTTCACATAGACAAATGAGGTGGAGATTATTTCCTTTGGAAGGACTGCTGTAATTTCAATTTTGTTTTCTAACTTACAGCAATATTCATTATGCATTTTAATGAAAAACTACAGCTCCAAGATGACAGGATCCTTCGTCACATCTCTGTGCATGTCTGGAGAAGGATATACAGAAACTTTGCATGAAAATATGTCTTGGTAGAGACGGGTAACATGCTATATGTACTCGTAGCAGACCTGGGTTTTCTGCTTTCCTTCTGCATCTGCTATCAAAATTTGCTATTATCACAGATGTATGTGCCTTTTCTTTTTAATTACAGGCTGGCAGTGATGGGGAAAGCATCGGAAATTGCCCCTTCTCTCAGCGTCTCTTTATGATTCTGTGGCTAAAAGGTGTCATATTCAATGTTACAACTGTGGATTTGAAAAGGTGAGGTTGTAACCAGAGTTCTCTTTTCAGAACAGCTCTTCCAAAATGGTGATTTTAAAGGCTGACTTTCTTTTGATAGATTTGAAACGGCACCGTGGCATGGCATTGTGTCAAGTCTGGATGCCTGATTCTTCTTTAGGGTTCACTAGTATAAGGTGGACTAACTCCTTTGAAGCAGTTGAGGTTTTAACCTGTTTTGCAGCAGGCCTCTAACATGACGCAGAAGTTTTGGGGTATGTTTTAGGCATTTCAGAGCACATTCAGATACAGGCTAATGGATTCTCACACCACTGGTGTGAAGCAGCTGGGCTAAGGTTTATTTTGTGAGAAGGATGTAGAGCAGCCTGTTGTTTTAAGGTGAAACTGTTGCAATTAAGTGTAGAAATTGCAAATGTGGTTCCTGCATTGATTAACCCCTTCTCTTTCCTCCCATTAGAAAGCCTGCTGACCTGCAGAACCTTGCCCCAGGAACAAACCCTCCCTTCATGACTTTTGATGGTGAAGTGAAAACTGATGTCAACAAGATTGAAGAGTTCTTGGAAGAAAAGCTGTCTCCACCCCGGTACTGTATTCCTGGCTGCTTCTCTTGCTTTCAGCCCCTCATGGTCCTCAATGGGGGTTCAGTGACCAAACCATTTGGTTTTGCTGGGTCAAGCCTTCATTCATTATGCGTTAGAACTGCATGTGCGGACTTGTCCTTCCGCACCCCAGCAGCTCTTTCCACCTTGCCCCAAACCCTGCTGTCCCACCATCAGCAGCATCCTGTCCCATCGCTCTACCATGTACCTGATGGGGGAAGCTGTCTCCTCATGATCCCTTCTCAAGCATCCAATCCTGACTTAAACCAGGCAAGCGGCTGCTCTTTCCCTTTCCTCTCTGCCCCTAGCAGCAATAGCTACTGGGCTGGCTGCTCTCAGCTTGCTGACACCTGAGCTGTCCAGGCAAGGAGGCTGGGAGGAGCAGCAGCTAGTGTGAGTAGGGATTTTCCCTCTGCTTTTCCTAGGAGAGCCACTGTTCTGTTTGGGCAGTGTTTGCAGTAATAACAGTTGTTTCCCATCTCCCTCAGGTAAAGGTGGTCATCCACATGGCTTAGGTATGTTTAAAATCATTTCCAAATGATTTTCAGTTCAGGATGGTTCCCTTTGAGAGTCCTGTGTATATTGTGACACTGCAGTGTAAGAATAATCTATGTCAATTAATGGAGATGAAAATAAAGGCTAGTCATATAACTTTTCTTGTTCAACTCCCCAGGTATCCCAAGCTTGCACCAAACCACCCTGAGTCTAACTCTGCAGGAAACGATGTGTTTGCAAAATTCTCTGCATTCATAAAGAACCCAAGAAAAGATGCTAATGAAAGTGAGTGCTGCAGTCTGTTAGTCAGACCTAGTAGTTACTGGGAGAAATCAGAGCTGTACAGTTCTAGTACACTTGCTGTCATCGCTCCCAGCCTCGCTGCCCTGCCTGTGGGCAGGCACTTGCTCCATGACTCCCAAGGTGAGAAGTCAGTGTGAAGGCAGAGCCACTCTGCCAGGTCACTCTGCAAAAGCATGCTCCACAGAGGTGTTTGAGGAGCCATTTCTGGTAGCACAGCCCCATTCTGTTTTTTCTCAGAACCCCATTTAGCTACTTAGGGCTCTTATCCCAGCATTAAGTTTTAAGCTTAGGATAAGGGAATTGCAGGAGTTGGCATGGCCAGATGTCTGTGAGCTGGGCTGGTGCCAGGAGACAGGATGCAGGAGTTGCCTTTCTGTTTGGTGTCAGAGAGATCTTGGTACAGGCTTGAATAACCTTTTTATTGTCTTAACCTAGATTTGGAAAAATCTTTGCTTAAAGCCCTGAGGAAGCTGGACAACTATTTAAATAGCCCCTTGCCTGATGAAATTGATGCTTACAGCACTGAGGAGATCACTGTTTCCAGTCGGAAATTCCTGGATGGAGATGATCTCACCTTAGCAGATTGCAACCTCCTACCAAAGCTCCATATAATCAAGGTTTGCATTTGCTTTTTAGCTTCCTAAAGAGAAGAGTGGCCCAGAAGCTCAAGTCCTTTTCTAAAATGCAGAGGAATCCTTTTATCTGTTCTGAGGCCACACAGTGGTTGTGTTGAGACACTGTATGCTAGTGCACAAGGCCATTTCATTACAGCACAGTGAGGCAGATCCTCAATTTGTTGACTCGGGTGCTAGAATATCTGGTTTCATATCTGGGCTATGAGTGCACTCACTAAGCCTCTCGTAAGTATGAAATGAGTGCTGTAGAGAAGTGTTTTCATTTCCATTTCATAGGCAAAATGATTATGAGCATGGACCAATAAGGTTAAATTATTTTGTCCATGCCAATTCAAGAAGCCAACAAAAACTGAAATTCAGTCCTGTCTCTCCTACTTTTAATCCAAAACTCTTGCTTGGCTGAATATCACCGCTAGTATCAATAACATTAGCAAGGTAACAATCACCCATTGCCTTCCAGCCAAGGCTCTCAGCTTCCTCTTGCAGGGCTGTGGAACATCTACACTTACCTAACAGTCCTAGTGACCAAGATGTCTGTCACTGGGCTACTCTGAAGCCAACCAAGCTCTGGCAGAGAAATGGCTGCACTGGAAATTCATTGGCTTTCAAACAAACTAGGTCCCTTTAGAAAGTGTCCTTTTTGACTACAGGCACAGCAAAGCTCAGAGGTAGCAGGGTCAGCAGGGCCAATATGGGGCGACTCACCTTATGCCAGGTGAATGCCTGAAGGATGATGGAGGATGAACAATACACCATCCTTTGCTGGCCAACGGGGAGGGGTTAGGTATCAGCCAATAGTTGTTTCCGCTAGCCATTTGAAATTTAGTATTTCAGTTCAAGTTTCTTCTTTCACTGAAAGTATCCAAGTGTGGGGCAGTTTGTTACTATAAGATGATCTGTTAATTCTGGTTTATGCTAGCTCCTTTTCTGTTTTAAGCTGTGTCTCTTCCAGGTGTGGTCTACTGGTCCACATAGATCTGCATAGCTCTAGCTGAGTATTTATACCAAATAAACCCTGTAAGTGAGTTAGCTTGTTAGCTAGCTTTCTTCATTTCTTTACCTTTGTGTTGCATATAACAACAGACTTGCACATTGAAAATTAAAACTATGCACAAAGAGGAGATTTTGGTTTTTTTTTCAGATCATGTATGTAATTATATTTTTCTTTTTTCTTTTAATAAAAGGTTGTTGCAAAAAAATATAGAAATTTTGATTTTCCACCTGAAATGACAGGGATTTCAAGATACTTGAACAATGCATACGCAAGAGATGAATTTACAAACACTTGTCCTGCTGATCAAGAAATCGAGTATGCGTACTTGGATGTTGCAAAGAGAATGAAGTAAACAGAAGATGCCTCTGTTCTTTATTGCTTCCGAGATTCAGATGGGCAGCAGCCAAGATGGAAGTATGCATTCTGCAGCGTAATTTTAAGTTCTGCTATTGGCCAATCCTTCTTTTATAATGATTGTATAGCTTTATTTGCTCATTCTTAAGTTATGTATGTGTATGTTTATGTGTCTGTACAGATGTCTGCACACATGAATATCTGTTGTGCATTCCAAGTTAAAGGCATAAGTCAATATTCAAGCATCTGTTGGGGTTAGGGGAACAGTGTAGGTTACACAATTATAGCAATATTACAAACTAGTGACTTATGGTAAATTGCTGAATTTTGAGAAGAAATAGCCCTGTTTCTAACACACATTTAACCTCTTGTTATCGCTGCCTCTGATCTCTGTTTCACAGTTGTTGCCAAACTTCACAGTTACCGGGAGGGTTTCTGTTTGCTTCTCTGCAAGCCTCAGAGGGCCCCAAGCCAGCCGCTGGTGCCCATGCAGCACCTGGCTTAACCCAGGAGAGAGGGCAGCCTGTAGGTGGGACTACACCTCATGTCCCAGAAGCCCTCTCCTCTGTGCTGGAGACCTGCAGGGCAGGTCAAGGAAGTAGAACTCCTTTTTACATTGTGTGAGTCTTCTTTGGTATAATAATTAAATAAATTAATCCATCTTGCCTTCTCCTCTCTCAGGGCCGCAAAACCCATCGAACTTCCCTCCTGGTGCTCCCAAAGAGAGAAATGCAGAGTGCCACTGGCTGATGGACTGTCTGATAATAGATATTTGATGAGGGAAGGGGGAGAAACACAGTTTTCACTGTAGACATAAGAAAGGGGTGACCATCTGTCCTCTGCTACTGATGTAGAATTTCTTTGTCATCCTTCCGTGGCTTTCATCTGGTTTTGGAAAGCAAAGAGGAGGAGAGGGTCTAAGAAAGAAACAGTCCTCCTATACTTCCTTTTCCTGGTTGAGCTCTAACGTATTGGCTTTCCCAAGGCTGCTGTTAGGATTTCATTGCTGAGAGCTTTACAGCTGATTAGACAACATAGACCTACCTCATGCAGTAGGCGGGGGATGGATTAGATGGACCCCTCCAGACTTGCCTGTGTCTGTTAAATCAGTCAGTACTCGGGAGCACCCTCTAGCCTGGCACTGAGGAGCACGCGATGTATGGACATAAGAGATGTATGGGCTGGGATAAGTGATGTTCACAGCTGCTTTTTGCTGAGCAGGTCCTCAGCAAGCACACAGGAGCAGAGTGTGCAGTGCTTTAGTCATAGGGTCACGTGGAAGTTTTCTTCTGATGGATTTTGCCTGTGTACAAAATAGATGTAAAAATGGCTAAAAATAGCTTTACAGCACCTACATCCACAAAAATACTCTTTTAGGTCAGTCACTTATCCTTTCCCATGTCAAACATACGCTTGCTTTCTAACAAAGCTTTACTTAATGGTAATAGTCGGTGTTAGATGCACTGTGCCTGCACTGTCTTCCTCTTACACACTGCACAGCTCTAATGCAGATGTGCTAACATCACAAGTATTTGTAAGCAGTGCCGAATATGTGGCTTTAGTTTAGCTTGCCTTTAGAGAAAACAGGCACAATAACTTTCCCCTCCCACCCTCCACTGTGAACTCTCATATTGGGGTTGATAGCTGAGCAATCACTCATCACCTATTACTAACACTTACTTTGTATTTTCAAATACATACATATATATATAAATATAAAAAATGAAACCTGTATACTCTTTTCGTATGCCTTACAAATTTAAATAGAAAATACACAAATTCATAAGTAATTTGAACAGTGTTCTGTCTTTATTTTCTTGGTAACTTCCTCATAAGCTGCATTGAAACAGTGGCCTAGATTTTAAGAAACACAGGGCAAAATTTAACCCAGCTTTCATTTGTTTTGGGGGAATCATGTATGTTACAGACCTGCAGTGAGATCTTGGGAGCAATACATACTGACTGTGCCTACTACTGGTGAATAAGAAACCAAAGGGCTAGAATAAAATCCTTGACGGCTGAACTGCCTAGCACAAACTGTCCCACATCCATGCTGGTTTAGGGCTGTCCACATTTGTAACTGCTTGGTCATGGAGAGATCCACTTGAGATGATCCAAAACCACCAGGGACTGTCCACGCTGGTTGGCAGCTCTTGAGTAATCCAAATGCAAAATGCATGAGGGGGCTCCTGGCTTCTCCCTAAATAGAGGTATCTCTGTTTATCCTCAATAAATAACCCCAAGCCTGGGCTATTCTGTGGCCCTAAGAGCACATAGCAATGTGTGGGTCACATCCCTACTACTCTTTTCTACCTCCTGGAAACAGGGTGGCCATGTTGGTTGTGTGGACCAGTACCTATGGCCAAATCATGTTTGGACATCAGTGAGAACAATGCTCTTGGCACAGGTCAGAGTATTTGTAACAGAAGTCTTGAGGTTAGTGAAGATGAATAAAAATGTGCATGTGAAAGCACTGGAAGAAACAGAATAGTGTTGAATAAAAAAATAGAGTCATTGCTACAGGGCATTGTAGAAGTAAATTCATTCAAAGGACTTGGTAGCAAGAAGGCAAAGAGCAAACAAGCCTCAAGCTAAGGTAAAGAGATGAGGAGGAACAGGAGAAGTGGCATAAAACATGCTGATAAGGAAAACAGAACAATAGGAAGCAGGAAGTTTGCCTTTGACTTAAAGATCCTGACAGATCCCTAAAGGGTACAAAAGGCACATCCAGAAAACAGCTGGTTGTCACCAGCAAAGAACCCAAGAGCTGTGCCAGGGCTCAACAGCAGGTGGCACTGGCCTGCCACCTCACGCACAGAGGGGAAGGGTGTCTGGGGGCAGGTGACCCATGGGACGCTGACAGTGAGCAGTACCTGCCATTCAGAAAAAAACATCACCCTTTGATTCCACAAGGTCCCACTCTAGTTTCCTTTCCCTGGAGCCACGGTAGCAACCATCCCATGGCCTCACCCTCCCTGCTTTCCATACCCATCACAGCACCCATGTCTGTGTGGGGGTCAGCTGTAACTCAGGAGCTGATGTGCTGCTGTAACTCAGGAGCTGTTCAGCTCATTACCATTTATTTTTCACTGACTGGAAAGGGCAAGAGCAATATCTGCCTGAAACACCCTGGGCTGCTTTGTGGTATGCCCATGTTTTTTGTTTATAGACATAATGAAACTTCTTTTTAGCTCCAGATCATTCATTTAACCTCCCTTGACCTGTCTTCTTTACTAAGGCTTCACCAGAATCACCTGCACTTACAGTACTGTCAGGTGAAGGGGAAAAAGCCTCAGACACTCGGCAAACAGAGGTGTTGGGTGTTTGGTTTGTTTTTTTTTTTTTTAAGAATAGAATCATAGAATAGTTAGGGTTGGAAAGGACCTCATGATCATCCAGTTTCAACCCCCCTGCCATGGGCAGGGATGCCTCCCACTAAACCATGCCACCCAAGGCTTCGTCCAACCTGGCCTTGAACTCTGCCAGGGATGGAGCATTCACAACTTCCCTGGGCAACCCATTCCAGTGCCTCACCACCCTAACAGGAAAGAATTTCCTCCTTATATCCAATCTAAACTTCCCCTGTTTAAGTTTTAACCCATTGCCCCTTGTCCTATCACTACAGCCCCTAATGAAGAGTCCCTCCCCAGCATCCCTATAGGCCCCTTTCAGATACTGGAAGGCTGCTATGAGGTCTCCACGTAGCCTTCTCTTCTCCAGGCTGAACAGCCCCAACTTCCTCAGCCTCCTTTCATACAGGAGGTGCTCCAGTCCCCTGATCATCCTCGTGGCCCTCCTCTGGACTTGTTCCAACAGTTCCATGTCCTTTTTATGTTGAGGACACCAGAACTGCACACAATACTCCAAGTGAGGTCTCACGAGAGCAGAGTAGAGGGGCAGGATCACCTCCTTGGACCTGCTGGTCACACTCCTTTTGCTGCAGCCCAGGATACGGTTCGCTTTCTGGGCTGTGAGCGCACACTGAAGCCAGCTTGTGTTCATTTTCTCATCAACCAACACCCCCAAGTCCTTCTCTGCAGGGCTTCTCTGAATCTCTTCTCTGCCCAACCTGCAGCTGTGCCTGGGTTGCTCCCACCCAGCTGTAGGACCTTGCACTTGGCATGTTAAAACCTCATGAGGCTGGCATCAGCCCACCTCACAAGCGTGTCAAGGTCCCTGTGGATGGCATTCCTTCCCTCCAGCGTATCAACAGAACCACACAGCTTGGTGTCATCGTCGGCAAACTTGCTGAGGGCGCACTCAATCCCACTGTCCATGTCAGCGACGAAGATGCTGAACAAGACCACTCCCAACACTGATCCCTGAGGGACACCACTTGTCACCAGTCTCCAGCTGGACATTGAGCCATTGACCACAGTGCTCTGCATGCAGCCATTCCAGCCAATTTATCCACTGAGTGGTCCATCCATCAAATCCATGTCTCTCCACTTTAGAGACAAGGATGTCATGTGGGACAGTGTTTTTTCCTTAAAAACTGACATTGAAGGATATTTGATTAAGTGCTTGTGGCCACTGATGATAGTTCTGAAATCTAATGCTTTGTGGTTTGCTTACTTCTCTTACTCATGCAAAGGAAGTCCATGGTGCACATGATGCTAAGCCAGGGCTGGTGTTTCAATATTTCTGGCAACACAGGGAGGAGGTGTCACAGAAATGATTCAGTGTATCTGAAAACTGCAGTCACTTCATGTGTCCTGGGATGGGGTCAGCTAAAGTGTCTGCACAATCCCACAGTAAATGAGTCCACAACTTCTACACATTTTAAATGTCTGAGTCTGGCCCTTCTTAAAACACGCTGTTTTAAGAAAATAGCTTTGTACACATTCGAGTTATTTAATTTTCAAAGGCCTATCAAAAGATTATTTTTGAAAACAATTTACTGGAGAACAAATTAGATGAGATGAAAGAGAAAGCGAATTGTGGTGTTAATAGTATCACCAGCTGTCTAGGTGGCCTTGACATGCAGCAAGATGTAATATCTAGACACAGATTTGTAGTGCTTGATCCCATGCCAGGGCAGAGATCATGTTCTATTATTTAAAGTCATGTTTGTGGAGATAGACCTGCTGATTTCCAAATGCTTATTAGCACAAGTAGCCTTCTGTGTGGTGTTGCTTGTACAAAAAATGTTATTGTAATTTTAAATACCATTTTTGCACGTCCCTTTTCAACGTCTATTATTCGCAAGACAAATATGGTTAGACAGTTACTTTATTAATTGCTCTTCAACCACTTGCGTAGGAAACTCTCCAAGGTTGGAAGGTTTCTTTCTCAGCTTTAGTACTTAGTCTTCAGCATGACCCATCAGCTTGAAGTTTAAACGCTCTTTGAGTTCAGTGCATGATTTCCAAAAGCAAGCTGAGCTAAAATCAAATGAAGGGTAACAAACTGTAATATATTTTCCCCAATGCATATTCGTTATTTTTTAAATAGCTTCAAAGCAATGAAAAAAATAAACCTCATGAAAGCAAGTTAGCATTCCCTACCTACATCAACATGTTCTTTTTTTTGAGTATAAGCAAATACCTAGATTTCACAAGCACCTTAAAATTGGTTGAGGTTCAGTTTAAAAGCCTTTTTTTTTTCCTTAGGTTATTAGGAAGGTTATTTCTAAGCTGTCAAGAAACAGTATTCAACTGCTAAGACTGGCCATGACCCTGAAAGTTCAAGCCAACAGAAACTACCTACAGCAAGGCAGAGCCTTGGCTAGGTCAGCAGACACCCCTCTAAACCATTCCAAGTGCTGATACCACCCAATCACTGCCAGCCACACAGATGCCCCCCATGGATCCTGAAAAGCTACTTAAAGGTTCACAAAGTGGACTTTAGTGACCACACATGGGAGCTGCTGCCCTACAAACTGAGTTTCCTGGTCCTAGATCCTGAGCACCTGACAGGGCTCGCAGAGCAGAGGTTTGCCACACGGATCATGCTATGTTCTCCCATCAGCAGCCTTATCCCTTGACTACTCTTAGTTGTCTCATACGCCAAAGACTCAAATGCAGACCCTATTCATGAGAGAAGGGGTAAAGCAATTTGGTTGTTAATGCATGGCTCAGAGCAGAATTCAGTTTTCCTTCACTAGCAAACTCAAGGAAGTAAAGGAGCAAGGTTTTTCCAGGTCCTGGTCTAAATCGGACTCCTGCTGATTAAGATGTTTTTAGTGATGAGCAGCATGCAAACAGAAAAATCTCTTCTGGAAATGAACTAAAGGAAACAAGAATTTTATTTCAAAATTTGAACGTTGTTCAACTTTTTGATTAAATCAAAGCAATGAACTGAAATAAAAATAAATGTTACATTTCAAAAGCTAAGGCCATTTATTTTTCTTGGGTTTCTTCCTTCTGCCTTTTTTCAGTGATGAAAGGGGAAAAATGAGAGGCAGAAGTGCTGGAGAAGAAAAGACCACAGAATACCAAACTGCGTTTCAACTCAAGATTAAAAGGTAAAACAAAACCTAAAGTAAACCTGTATCTTCTTTTGTTGAAATACATTTGAAATGTTGCTTTCATCCAATTTCTCGTTCTTTATTTTGAAAGCATTAGCATCATCACCAAGCTCCTAAAAGTTTCATTCCTCTCAGGTGATCTGCAGTGAAGACAAGGTGTCTCTCGAGGTGAAAACTCTGATGTTCCTTTGCTTGTAGGAATAATCACAGGACAGATCTTCCAGCTCACTCCATTTCAGGACACTGAGATAGTCATAAATAGCTCCAGGTAATGAAGTCATAGTCCCATGAGAGGCTACAAGGAGTTGGACCTTACACAGG